GAATGCCTAATCCCCTAATGCCTAATTTGCTGTTAAAAGGTCAGATGATTTTAACCAGTATTTCCATTATTCTAACTAGCATTTTATTCTTCTAGGGACCTCCATCAATTAATCACTAATACTATGTTGTCTTTGTTTCTAGACAAGGATAATAATAGAATTCTTATGAAGTTCAGGAGCTGTACCAATTCACCATCAAGTCTCATGTTTGTCAAGTCAAAGAAATTGTCTTGTTCATTTTTTTCTTTATTTACCACCTCCGCTGATGATTTATGAGGACAGTGCAAACACACTGCTTCAAGGAATAAAAATATAATCCTCACTGAAGCTTACACAAGATTTGCAAGATAGTAGGCACGTGAGGCACATAACACTCAATCATTTGTCAAATCTTACTTTGCCAACCATCACAAAAGCAAGCTGCATGCCCAGCGCAGTAATATCTGCATGCCTTTTCTTAAGTGTTACAGGTTACAAATCAAGAAAACCAACTTTCCCCACCAACCCCTGGGATGCAGTTTTATGAACTAGTTGCAGAAAACTCTATGATCCAGCCCATGTTTCTGTATTTCTAAAGATACAAAAGTGCTGCATAAACATACTTCAACAAACATTCCTTCTACAGCGTTTTCTTTATTGAAACTTTTATTCAAACATCTCTGGTTTTAGCCAAAACTGTATTTCTGAGAGCTCAGACTAGAGACTTCACAGAAAAGTGGGGGATTTTGGTACTATGAAAATAGTTGTAAGGGTATCAGTAAGTAGCAATATAAACACAGGATTTATGCACATTCAATGTTGCAATAACAGATTAGACTACTGGCCTGCCTAGTATGATTTGGGGTTTTATAAAGCCGAAGGGGATGATCACAGAATAAATTTGCTGCATAGACAGATTTTTTTAAAATTAGATTTCCTTAGTTAGAAGCTAACATCCATGAAAAATGTGAAGGATTATTAATAACAGCTTAATAATAACTCTGCAGGGCCTTCCCCACCGTAGAGAGAGAGATTACATATACAGCACACACAGGACAGTAAGTTCAGCACAGATACATGCTTTGCTAATGTTCTAATACAGCAGATGATACAGATGTTTAACTAAACAGGAAGGTTTTTTTTCAGTTTGCATCACAACAAGGATGTTGGTTATCTGTTTGGTTTTACAAAATTCTGGGAGGTGGGAATTCTGTTTTGAGTGAAAAGTACAATAGGAATTATTGAAATATATTAGTTCTTATCTCCAAAGTTCAAGGGCAGAAGTAAAATTTACAGTTATGCATTGCATTATATCTCTTGTTAGTCTAACACAAGTACATTACTCAAAGCCTCCAAAGAAAAATAACACTGCAAAACATTTAGAACTTATTTCTTCAATACATCTTCAACATCAGTAAAGATGTCAAATGGGGGGGGGATAGCAGAACCAACACAAAAAATGAGAGTAATTTTGAAATGTTGCTTTTCAAAACATGAACTGAATGACAAAATGTTCTTAGACCCAAAGATGATCAGAAGAATGCTTAGTGTTTGAACCTTCCACTCACGAAGTATACAGTAGCAAACCAGTAACTTTGGCAGCTAAATAATGTGATACCCAAATTACTGCTACAAATAAGTCTCTTCATTTTCTACAGTTGTGTTACCTTCCATGGTAATATGTGCCTCACAATTCTAAGCTTCTTTAATGGTTTCTGCAATACAGTTTCTCACTCTTCAGCAGAAATTCATGGATTACTGAAACTGAGATTAGACAGAGTAGAAGAAAATCTGACCTGAAGATGAAAGCATTTTTGGGTACCCTATGTGTAAGTATTTCTACTGGGCACATCTGTTCCTGGTAAACCACTAAATATTAAAAGCAAACTCAGAAAATATGAAGTCTCTTATTCACAGCCCAGCTACTCAGTTTAGCACCTGTATCCCCTATTTTTTTCCTTTAGAGTATAATAAAACGGTTGTTGTTTTGTTTGGTTTTTTTTTTTTAAAAAAGGTGTTACAATTATGCTCTACAAATAGGACATAAATTCTTATGTAGAGAGGTAAGAACTACTGGCTCAACAGAAAAAGTGAAAAATATGGCTTATGAATTCCCTTCTTCCAGCAACACTCTGTGAGCATGTAGAAAGCAATAAAAAAATTTCTCACATATTTTACAACTGTGAGGGAAATGAGGAGATGACACCTATAAGCAGATAAAAACAAAACAAAAAAATGAAAAGAAAAACACCATAGTCA